CCCCCCCCCTCCTTGCGATAACGATGTTAAATGCTAGAAACCAGGGGTCTCAGAATTGAATAATATAAAGATTTAAAAAAGACAACAAACGATTTTTAAAACACATTGATTGCTTCTTTTCAATATTGAGTCACATATATACATTAAAAAAGGTTTTGCCAATGGCAGCAGCGTTGCCCTTTCTTTGGAATAATAGTTTGCGATTCCTCATCTTTTCGCAAGGTGATCTCTCCCCATCTCCAAGGGGAGCTATTATCAATCCCCAAGGTGACCTATTTTTAGCCCCCATGGAGAGCTCTTTTACCCCGGAAGGTTGTCTGTTAATTTAGCATGGGTTTTACATTTATTTCAACAGTATAAGATTATTTTTTTTAGTCTAGTTGGGATCTCAAAATGCAACGCCCATCCCGGATAGAACCGAACTAAATAAACGGAGAGCCTTAAAGACAACACAAACTACCCAAATTCCAGAACATCTGTTTGGAGAATTCGAACCATGTTTACTAGTATGGCAGTTCCAACAAGATACCAACGGAGCTAATGGTGTCTTCTGTGTATATGTGTGTGAGTGTGTGTGTGTGTGTGTGTGTGTGTGTGTGTGTGTGTGTGTGTGTGTGTGTGTGTGTGTGTGTGTGTGTGTGTGTGTGTGTGTGTGTGTGTGTGTGTGTGTGTGTGTGTATCTTACTGTCTCCCGTCCCAGTTTGATCCGTGTGCGAGTTAACAATATCGTTATAATGCCCACGTACTTGATTCTCTTTGGTTCCACAGTCTTAAAGACAGCCGAGTAGAGATCCATCGCACGAACCCACATGACCATGGATTTACACGCCTGTGGAAACAATAATACGAAGTGACTATTCCCAGTGACAACGGAACTCTTTTACTTTAAAAAAAATCAGAAGTCTTCTCACTTCAGTTCAGCACTTTTGTTCTCTTCTCTTACTAGGGGCTTCGACTTGACCGTAGAATAGATCTAGAATCTAGATTAGAAGAAAGAAGAATCGGGAAGGATTTCTACCTGTCCTGTACCGTGGTCTCCAAAACCCGTATGTAGATCTAGATCTGCACGTACGTTTAAATTACGACGGAATAACCAGCAAGCATAGAATGATCATTCCTTTTTCTTAAAAAAATTCTTCCACTCACACCAGAATCTACTTTAGTTTCGTTAGATCTAGAATCTAGATCTAGATCTACATTAGATATAGTCTAGTATTTAGTAAACCCATCACCATCATGCCCATGTAGATCAGTGTGGGAACAAATAGATCTAATGGGCCTGTCTGTTCTCAGTGTCACTGGGAATAGTTTCTGGGCCTACTCCCTGTGTCACTGTTCCATTGTGTATCTTTGAATGATTTTGTAAGTGCTGAGGCAAAGTACAGAAATATAACCCCTTTCCATTTTCCAACAGCTGAGAGAAAACCGTTCAGAAGCAATTATTCCAAAACACGATAGAATTGCAATCGTTGAAATATGTCTTCAAGCATCCCCGAAAAAGTGTTTTGTATGAGCACAGCGGGGGAAAATTCAGACACACGTGATACATTTGTGGTAATATAAAATTTGCCAGGCGAAAGAAGACATGCTACAAGGGATATACGACACCATCATCAATCGAAACTAACAGCCCACTGTATTATTAATTGAAACTTGCCCACCTTTGATACTTTCTCCACGACCTCCGGGTGAAATTTTGGGTTAGCGATGTACTTCTTGAGCTTCTTCAGTTTGGCCTCCGGGATGTTGTCCTTGTCGTACTCGGCGAGCCGCTTGAGGAAGTTACTGTCTCCCAGCATGCCTTTACAGCTGGCCCAGTCCGTTCTGAGGGCAAGGAATTGTTTGTTGGTTTGTTTTAGTGAGAGTTTTAGGGCGCTTGCAACACAAATCCACCTCCCTGACCTAGCTCTCTCTCTCTCTCTCTCTCTCTCTCTCTCTCTCTCTCTCTCTCTCTCTCTCTGA